ACCCTGTAGGCCCTGTACCCTGTAGGCCCTGCACCCTGTAGGCCCTGTACTAAATACATTTAAAAAATAAAAATAACAAGGAGGGAGAGAGGGAAACTAGCAGTTTGCAGGATAATAGCTGAGGGGGACAGAGAGCAGCTGCTCCATGAGTGCAAATTTCCTCTTGAGGTGAAGAAAATGTTTTCGATCTGGATAGAAATTATAATTGCACAATACTGTGATTGTACTAAATGCCACTGAGCTGTAACTTTTATATGCTTGGTACAGATCTCGCTACACAGCTCAGACTCATAGTGATCCTCCTGCTTTAGCCTCCCCAGAGCTGGGATTACATGCTTGTGCCACCACATCCAGTCTCAGTGGCTGATTTGGTGCACTGGGAGGGGTCCAGTACAGCATGCAGTATGGGGATCGAACCCAGTTCCTTGTGCTTGCCAGCCAGGCACTTAGACTGCTGAGCTATCTCTCCATCCCTGAGCTGTAACTTTCAAAGGGAAATTTTTGTTATGTGCATTTAAAAGAAAGCAGGGGGGGACCGAAAGCAGCCACCCATGGGATGAGGAGGGCCTGGGCTTTAGTGAGGTCAGGAGAAATTGGAAGGAGGAAGCAGACACTGGGCAGAAGACAGAAAGCAGGGGAGGGGAGCCGAGGAGAATGGGGCTGCGACTGGGAAGGAAGCAGAGAGGCAGAAGCAAGCACAGAGCCTGCTAGAGCTCAGCAGGCACAGAGAAGCCGGCGCCTCGACCCCATCCATTCCCCTTCAGGCCAACACTGATAAATAACCCACGTCTCATTTGCCAGATGCTTGCTGGCTCTAGACCCCTGCTGCATACACCGCAGGGCCACATCTCAATCCTCTCTCCATCCATGTGCTACCGGTCATTCCCAGGGGGGCAACAGAAGCCTGAGGCTGAGCACACCCAAGGACCAGGACCACACTGAGGAGCTGGGTAGTCAGTGAGGGGAAAGGAGGGGCAGGTCACGGAAGACAAAAATGGGAGGTTCTAAACTGGATATGATGGCGCAAGCCCACATCCCGGCCCTCAGAAAGCCACAGCAGGAGGGTCCCTAAATAGAGACCAATCTGATGATGTTTAAAATGGGCTGGGGGGCGGGGCGGGGCCCTAGCTCAGGCCTTTAAGTGGCTGCTTCCACAAAGCTGTCAGCCTCAGGTTGCTGGAGTTCGAACCTCACAACTCTCCCGCTGGCCAAAAGTGCCCTGAAGCCATTCGAGGAACAAAAAAAAAAAAACAAAAAACATCCTTGGATAGGGGAGATGGCTCAGTAGAGTGGGTGCTTCCCTGGCAAGCACAAGGACCTGAGTTCAATCCCCAGTTCCACAAAAATAAATAAATAAGTAAATAAATAAATAAATAAGTAATTAAATAAAATGGGCTGGGGCCAGCCAAAGAGCTCAACGGATTAAAACACCTGCTTACGCAGACACAGGGGCCAAGAGTTCGATCCCCAGGCCTGCCAGGCTGGCCCCACCCCCAGGGCACTCTGAGCAGGCCATTGAAGCTGAGCAGCAATTGAGACTGGGCATGGTGGCCCGCACCTGGAATACCAGCACTTGGAAGGCTGCAAACATCTATGCAGTGAGGCCCTGTACACCCTGTACGCCCTGTGCGCCCTGTACACCCTGTGCGCCCTGTACACCCTGTGCACCCTGTACACCCTGTGCGCCCTGTACACCCTGTACGCCCTGTACACCCTGTATGCCCTGTGCGTCCTGTACGCCCTGTGCGCCCTGTGCACCCTGTGCGCCCTGTACGCCCTGTGCGCCCTGTACGCCCTGTACACCCTGTCCTAAATACAAAAAGAAAAGAGAAAAAAAATGGGCTGAGGATACAACTTAGCGAAAAAGCATTTGCCTACCATACATGTGGGCCCAGCAACAGGCTCATCCTTTTACAGGCTTTATTACTGACTGTATTCACTCCAAGTAATCTTGACAGTCTAGTTCCTGAGCCCTGAGCCTTCCCAGTCACCCCGTGCTGCCCAGGGCCTACCTGATGGTGTAAGCCGAGGTGGAAGAGACAATGAGGGCGCTGACCGTCTGCTGCAGGAGGGAGATCTCCTGTCGGGGAGAAAGACAAATATATGTCTTGGCTGCCACCCACGGCTCACCCCTCCCAGCCCAGCCTGTCATGATCAGCCACCATGACAGGCACTCAGACATACAGAGAACCCAGAGAAGGCTGTGCAGAGCTGCAGGCTGACAGGGCAGCTTCCACAGAGCAGTCGGGAGACACCCACACGGCAGAATGCAAGGGGCCACCCTGCCTTCTTGCTTGGCTAGGAAATGTGTATGAATTTTATCCTATGCTCTGAGTTGTATGGGGCTCATCATGCCTGTGACCCCAGCACTCAGGAGGCTGAGGCAGGAGGATCACCATGAGTTTGAGGCCAGCCTGGCTACAGAGTGAGTTCAAGGCCAGCCTGGACTACAGGTAGGTGCTCGTGCTGCTGAGATATCTCCCTGGCCCCAACCTGGGAGACCCTGTCCCAAAAAAAAAAGAGGGGGGGCTGGTGAGGAGTTGGGGTTCCTTCAAGATGAAAGGGCAGAAATGATATACACATGCTCATACATAGATATACAGATATGTAAGCACACATGCCCATGTGCACACAGATACACATTTACTTTTGCAAAAATAGAGGGATGGATAACTGGAAACTAAGGAGCCTGGGTACGTGGGCACATGCCTCTGATCCCAGCACTCAGGAGGCTGAGGCAGGATGATCACCTAGAGTTCAAGACCAGCCTGGGTCCCGAGTTCGATCCCTGGTACTACAAAAGGGGGGGGGTATAGCTCAGTGGCACGTGCACCTGCCTGGAATGAGGCGGAATGTTTTCCCCGAACACCTTTTGGAATAGTTTTGATCTGGGTTTCTTCTTCATATTTATAT